AAAATACATGGCTTTGGGTGTGTTAATTTATTTTTCTACATCTACTTGTGAAAAATCTACTCTTTAGAAGTAGCTTAAATAATTAAATATTGTGATATCAAGAATTTAATTTTCACTAAAGTGGCATCATAAAGTTCTATGACTTTGTCCAACCTGCTCTGATCATGCTGATTTTCCCTAACTCAGTAATGTGCTGTACATGTGCTTTTCAGGATCAGCCTGTCCTAACCTAGCCCTCTTTAAGCCCCCCTAGCAATTTTCCCCACCTATGGCTCCTACCTTGTCTTTCCTGTGCCAAGTATGGGTGTGGAAGGCTTCTCTCTTCCTAACTGTAGCCTTCCTACAGGGACAATTTGTGGGAGTATTTTTGTATCCTTCTGAGCCTGTACAAACTAGATTTTGCACATACATCTGAATTATCAGTTCAAATTGAAAAGCAAAAACATAGTACTGGTAAGTCTAACTTGAAAATAGCCCTAACCGGTTTGGCTCAGTGGATAGAGCGTCGGCCTGCGGACTGAAGGGTCCCATGTTCGATTCCGGTCAAGGGCATGTACCTGGGTTGCGGGTGCATCTCCCGTGGGAGATGTGCAGGAGGCAGCTGATCGATGTTTCTCTCTCATCGATGTTTCTAACTCTCTATCTCTCTTCCTTCCTCTCTGTAAAAAATCAATAAAATATATTTTAAAAAAAAAAGAAAACACATTGCATCTGATACAAGCATGTCAGAGAGCCTCTTATGATGCAGATCTCAGTGATCCCTTTTCTCATGTCCTACTCAGATACAGTTGCTTCAGTTACTATGGCCAGTTTATGTCAGTCAACTTATTTCTAAACTGCTAGCAAATTGAAAAAAAATGTAACCTCTATTTCAAAAGAACCAAAAGGTTACCTCTGGGTTCTATCTCTTTCCTTTCACAATTTAATCCCCCAGGAACTATGAACTTGATTACTTAAGAGCAGCCTAGTCTTTAGGAAACATCTTTAGGAATACAGTGGGGCCCTGACTTACGAGTTTAATTCGTTCCGAGGTTCCGAGACCGAGCTCATTAACTCAAATTACTCTGTCAACTCAATGCAAAAAATTGGCAGAGACACAGCTGGTATCAAAAAACTCGTTAGTCGGGACACTCGTAAGTCAAGGCCCCACTGTACACAATGTTCCTTGGTCTTTATCAACATAGTTCTATAACCTATGCATCCAAAAGGGAGGACCTCTATGAATAGGCCCCAGAGTTCTGTAACTCTTACCATATTCTCAGGGAGGTCTCTAACCCAAGAACCATTGACCTGGATCAGCTGCCAGGCTTCACTTTGGCCTCAAAAGGCTTTGCTTAAAATTCCAAATAACATAGAATTTCCTCTTCAACTCTATCACAAACATCTACAATTTCTTCAAAACCTAGGTAGGTAGTTTTTTGTTTGGCTTCTAGGAAATGACCCTTGGCAAAATAAGACTTGGATGAATTTATATTCAGAGATCCTCATCATAGTGTTTTTTATAACACAACAAAAAGCTGGACATATCCAAAATATCCTGTAACACAAAAATGAAGCATTATACAACTATGGAATTTTTAATAGCAATCATGAAAGAAATATATTTAAATGTTTGAAGTGGACAAAGTATATTACAGACTAGTATATAAAATATAACTCTATAATTCCATTTTGAAAAACATATTCACATGTAGTGGTTGAGAATGCTGGCCAAGTTAAGCCTGTTTCTTGCACTAGGAAGTTGTCTTTTGCAGTTACTAAGAATAAATGAGTCAATCCAAACAAAACACTTGGAACAATACTTGATTTGTAAATATATGATAATTGTTAGCTGTTATATACTCACCACTACCTAATAGGATTACAAGTGATTTTTGTTTGCTGCTTCATACTTTTTATGTATTCTACACTTTCTTTGATGAACATGTTTTACTATTATCAGAAAATAAGTGTTATTTCAATGCTTAATTCCAGCAAAACTAAGGAAATTAACACCAAGTAAATCATAATACTAACTTTTAGTAAACTTTATTATAAAAGAAAAAAATAGTACTATTTTATGATTTTTTTCACCCACAAGAACATGAGTGGCAACCAGTGACTTGTTTATAAAAATATTTTAAGACTCATATAAGACAATATCTTATCTTCTGAAGATTAATAGGGAGAGGTCCACCTGAAAAATTTTTCCCCAGGGAATCCAGTCTCTTGGATCAACTATAAAAAAATCCACATAGATCAACTTTCTGCCAACCTGGAGAAGATTTGTTTTCTTTGATCTGCTGTCATATGTTCACAAGCTTCTAAAATGTTTGCCAAAATTAAGGTCTGCTGAATGGTTTTTGCCTTCACCCATATTCTTCCATTCATTCCAAACACTATTTCCAGTGGGTAGAGTTTTCCCACTTCCTGTAGGATTTCACAGTCTGGAGCTAGCAGCCTGGTGAGGAAAAGGAAAGAAAATGAAATTTTAATGAAGTGGTAGAGTGTGACCTAACTTTCCTTTAGGACTCCTTTTCTAGGCAGTTCTCCATAGTTAAAGCCCCACTAACATCAAATAATTAAAGGCACATGACAGCATTTACTGCCCCTTTTCTTCTAAGACAGTGGTTCTTAACCTTGGCTGCACATTAGAATCATCTGGGAATCTTTTTAAAATCCTGATTTCTGTGCCTCATACTCTGGAAATTCTGTTTCTTTGTTACTAATGTTGTGGCCTCACCCCATAACAAAGAAACAGAATTTCCGGAGGATGAGGCCCAGAAATCAGGATTTTAAAAAGATTCCCAGGTGATTCTAATGTGCAGCCAAGGTTGAGAACCACTGTTCTAAGAAGATTTACACTGATCAGTATATCAGGTCACAGGTGGGCTAGTCTCAACAAAGAAATCAAACTCCCTGTATCATCAACTTTACCAAAAACATATAAAGTTCTTCCCCTACACTGTCAGAGCACCTTAATTCTAGGCTTTAAGACCATAGCTTCTAAAAATTATCTAAAGTGCTGAAAGAACACCTTAAACTTACTTTCCTGACCATGTAAGTTAATCCCTGGTATTAAATTCACTACTTGGAAAGAAGTGTTAGCTCTTTCAAACCACAAGGGTGCTGCTTAATTAGTAACATGCTTCTCTAACAACCTGAACCAATTCTCCAAACCTGCAGAATAAGTAGCAGAGTCATGCAAGAGAGCTCTGAACTTCGGGATCTACAAGTACATAAAACCCTTTAACAGGGCACAGCTTTGGGTAGGTAAAAGTGTAAACACCTAACAGAATCTGCCTCTGGGAACTTTTTTTAAAATTGATTCTTAGGGAGAGAAACATCAATGTGAGAGAAGCATTGATTGGTTGCCTCCTCCACGCACCCTGAGTGGGGATTGAACCCACAATCTGAGTGTGTACCCTGACCAGGGATTGAACCAGCCACCTTTTGCTGTACGGGATGATGCTCCAACCAACTGAACTGCCGGGGCTGAGAACTGTTAAATCTATCAGGACAGATAGCAGAAGTCTTCTGTGAATGTCTGCATAAGCTCAAGGATCCCATCAGCCTACCTGCACTGCTCCCATTACTAGAGAAATTTGGTGATTTTGTACAAATTACATCTGTATTAAAGTGACATAGGGGGGGAAACGCCAGTTTTTATGTGTTTAATTTTTAAAAACCCAAAGCCAAGGATATGTTTTTATTGATTTTTAGAAAGGGAGAGAGAGAAACACTGATGTGAGAGAGAAACATCAAACAGTTGCCTCCCTTAAGCACCCCGATTGGGAATGGAACCTGTAACCTAGGTATGTGTCTTGACCAGGAATCAGATCCACAACCTTTTGGTGTAGGGGATGACGCCTCAACAACTGAGCCGCCTGGCCAGGGCGGTAAGGCCAGTTTTTACATTTGGGCTGAGTAAATCAGCTATAAGAAATAGTAAACCAGGAGGAAGCCCAGACTCCTTATCAACACAGAAACTAGACCACCAAGTACATCTGAATACAATGTATTTACATTAAGAGAGGATGGGACTAAATGCTTGAGTTTACAAGTATGCTTAAATGGATAATGATTTTTTAATTCTGAGGAAATTCAGATGTTGTTACAAAGAATCCAAATCCCAAAGATCAGTTGGCTTTCCAAGAAGGTATAATTATAAAAGACCAGGAAGCTAGAAAGCATTAGGACTTACTTTCTAATTAAGCCCAAAGTCACTTTAAAAAGTAGACCATCCTGTCCAATCACACCCATTCCGTTGGCTCGTCCACAGCTGTCAATACAAACCATCTCTGGTTCCATATCTTTATTAGCAACCACAAATTGTCCATAAATGAGATCTCCAACCTACAATGATAATTTAAAAACAGTAACCATTTTATAGTCGTTATTTCCCATAACAGCAAAGCCAACTACCTACAGTTCTGTAGCTAAGGAACTGATTACATGCCAAGATTCGCAGTCACTTTGGAGTTGGGTCTTAAACAAAGGCAGCATTGACACATGTACCCTCCCCCTTAACCCACCAGGAAATCCCTAGACTGGGAGCCATCACAAAGCCAAAATATAAATACCCTCTAGAGCTACCCTGTCCAATGTGGTAGCCATCTACCCACAAATAGTAATTTTAACTCACTTTTGAATTAATTAAAATTAAATACTTAAAATTCAGTTCCTTAGTTGCATTAGCCATATTTCAAGTGTTTAACAGGCATGTGTGGCTAGGGGCTACCATACTAATCATTGTGGAAGTAAAGCATTAGCATCATCACAGAAAGTGCTATTAGGTAGCTCTGCTCTAGGGAATTACAGAAGATAGATGGATAGAAGAAACTCCTGGCATGCATGTTATTCGAAGCAAAATGGAACAATGGCAATTCATTGACACTTCTCCATGCAAGATTTAAAAACTTCACGAGTTGAACTTCAAAATGATGAAACTAAAGACATTGAGAGTGAACTTGTTTACCTGTTAAGTTGATGACTATAGGAACTAGAAACAAACATTCTCTGCCTTTCTTTCATAAGCATCTGGTCTTGAGGGCAGTGGGGATGTACATATAAACAATAAACTTCATTCAAAGCCAAACCTAGTTAAGTGCCAGAGCAGCGCTAAGAAAAAGTGATTGCAAGTCAGGAATGGTTTTATAGAGGTGGTGGTATTTGGCCCGCGCTTTACAATATGAGTATGTGTTCCACAGGCTGAAAAGGGGATAGAGCAATCCAGACAGAGAACCAGCATGAGCAAACAACAAGGGCAGGGCACTGTGAGTTCAGTCGTGCTGTTAAATAGTTCAGTGTGGTTCAAGCACAGCTGTGTAGAGATGTAATTATGGAAAAGGGAAGACTTTTGGAGTATAATGCCAAGGAAACCTGTAGGCTTTGAAGAAAGTGGAGTGTGAGAGGCTGTAGGCTCTCAAATGCCTGGATGGAGGGGTTAAAGTGTACAGGCAGGGATGTTAAATCGGCCAACTCCAGTCAAGGGTATCTAGGGCCTGAACTTGCAAAATGGAGATGCAGGGTGGACTTAAAGACAGAGTCAAATAGATTAGTAAGATTAAGCAACAAAAGACACCTGAAAGGTGAGGGATAAGGGGCAAAGAAACCACCAAATTTCTGGCTTGGGTGGACAGGAAGAGTGTTGCTACCTGAAAAGCCCAAGTAGAAAACGAGGAAACAACCAAAAGGGATTGTTGGAAAACAGTGATGTGACTGAAGTTGTGAGATGACAGTTCCCGGACCGACAATCAGGAAAGATGGATGGCCGATATGGCAATTTGCACCACTTACCAGGTATTCTTCCTTCCTCCCTAAGCCTATGGCTTACTTCCTTGTCCAGTGGATGTGGACAAAACAGATAACAATAGAACAGATAAAACCTTTCAACTCAATAGAGATTAAACAACTCCAAATATAGCAAATGTAACCTAAGTACGTGACTCCAGTCCCAGAGCTGAAGCAACATAAGGAACCCTTGTAGCCGAGAGTGATCACACAGATGCTAGGAGGTCATCCTATAAAACTGAGAAAATAGTCAGACTTTGGAGACATTCAGGTAGCCTTCAGAATATTTGGATGTTTTTCCTTTTTTGAAACCAAAGTTTCCTCTCATTACCTGCACATTTGGTCTGTTTCTTTTAGTTGCACCTTCAAATGCCAAGTAAGACAAAGACGCTGGCTCGCTCCCTCCAACATCGATTTTAAATATATCTCCAGATTTAGCCGTCACTATGCCAATCACATGGTCTCCTTTCACTGGGACATACTACAATACAAAAGAAATCAGAGTGAGAGAAAAACCATAAATAACCATCACTTTCCAAGTATCTTGGAAGATATCTTCAACCAGTCCTTACTGGTTACTAAAGTTTGTCATTGGAGATATTTAGGAAATATTTTGAAATCTAATTTACAAATTAATACACATCTTACAATAAACGGCCGTACACCACTTTCAGTAAAAGGAAAACAACTACATCATATAACTCTCAGGTTTACAGCTTCTAATAATCTGTTCATTTGAGCTGGTATCCCGTACCCCTTCTGTATCAGGAAGGCCACTTCAATGTTTGACAATGTTTCCTCTATGAAAAGTTCTTCCTTGCCAAAACCGGTTTGGCTCAGTGGATAGAGCGTCGGCCTGCGGACTGAAAGGTCCCAGGTTCGATTCCGGTCAAGGGCATGTACCTGGGTTGCGGGCACATCCCCAGTGGGGAGTGTGCAGGAGGCAGCTAATCGATGCTTCTCTCTCATCGATGTTTCTGACTCTCTATCTCTCTCCCTTCCTCTCTGTAACAAATCAATAAAATATATATATATATATAAAAAAGAAAAGTTCTTCCTTATTCTAATTTAACTCCCTGTGACATCCACTCAGAGCCTGCTTCTGCCCTTTGGGGCCCCTGAGGATAAGCCTAGTTTTCCCTGGCCTTTGGGATTGTGAGGACAATGACCATGTCTCACAGTCCCCATCCCTTATAGGCCAGGATCTCCAACCCCCTTTCTTTCCTGGCCGTCCTTCTCGGGCCGCGTTCCAGTGTCACAATCCCTCTAAAGCAGACGACGTGGGCGCAGACATCGGGGCTCTGGGCTAGCTTAACAGAGGCCTCTGCTCGAGGCCCCTCCCTGCCTCTTCCAAGAAGTCTTCCCAGGGCGGGGATACCTCTCACTGCCGTACCACCCCTCCGGGGTCCCAACTCACCCGCTTCTGCTGCGAGTCCACCCAGTAAACGCCGCCGCCGCCGCTGCCGCCGGGCTCCTTGTGCCGGAGGCGGCCGCACTTGGTGACCAGCAGGCGGTCGCCACAACGCCGCAAGCCGGGGCCGCACACGACGCGC